AGAATATGCAAATTTTAGCAAATTTAATAAAAGCAGTTAACAATGTTGCCGATCGTGGCACATCACAAGAATCAAATAGCGACGGGAATGATTCAGTTAGTGTTGAAGAAACGATAAAGCGGTTATTTCCCTCAACAGTTGGTTGTCAAGGCGCGAAAGCCGCAGAAGGGAGCGTCTTGGAACAAAAAAGGAATGTAAATCCAGATAGACACAGTGTGACCAGTATTGTGCGCTTCCATCCAAGTGCAGAGTATAAACCGAAAACTGGAAAACGGGCAAAATCATCATCATCGAAAGCCCCAAAAAAACAGCGGACAAAAACTGCTGAAACGGAAAGAACATCAGTGAAGGATGTTATTTTACTGCCAGGGCCAAAGGTGAGTTGTGTTCCAAAGGGCGTTACCCGTGAAAAACTTTACGTCCGTGGATTTACGACAACATTTGAACTGTCTTCATCTATGACCGAAGGTGAGATACGATATCTCTTAGACGAAAAATTAAAAGACAAACTTTGTAATATTGTGGGATCGAAGTTTACTTTCCTCCGGGCAGTTAGCAACAAAATAATTGTCCCCAGCTTGTCAAAAATGGAAAGCTTTGACGGCCGGATGTTAAAGCATTTTGCTGGACAAGGCCCGATTTACATCCGAGCTCTTGCGGATATAACTTCCGAACTTATCCAAGGCCAATGGAGAAGGTTTGAAGACAGCAGTGGCAGTGGAGATGAGAGTGATGACAATCCAAGAATGAAATCAACTGCGCATGAGCAATGCTCTGGACCATTGCACCTTCCACGCCCAGACATTTCTATTAAAAGACTAACATCAGAGCCGTCAACCTCAACTTCAAATGGACCTACCTGCTCTAGAAATCTTATTGCATGTCCCACTTGCAATAATGCTTTCCTGCTGCTGAAATAGAATTCTATGCAGATGCTTGTGCAGAAGAGAAATATGGAAGTGTTGATGAAAATCAGTACAATAAGCTGTTGGAATCATTTAATGATGTTGATGAAATCAGGGATATTAGCCATGTGGAAATACCAACTATCAATGTTGATGATGACAGTAAAAAACTTAATGGTGATATTTTTATGCCTGATAATCACAAAGAAAAAATAAAGGATGCAGTTTACAGGTTAAATAAACTTGTACTTGACAAACAGAACAAATATTAGAAGAAAAACAATTTTTGATGATTATGTAAATGCATGTGCAACACAACGTACGAATTAGCTATGGCTGCCTTGGCAACATGCACTCATTCATAAACAAGCACAACAGGAAAATACTAAGTAAACACACAAACACAAACACAGACGACGCAAACAACTCACGACAATGCAACTGTAGACGTCCAGAAAAATGCCCAGCTCAAGGTAAATGCCTCGCATCAAACGTTGTGTATCAAGCCGAAGTGTCCACGTGCAACAACGATCCACCAGCGAGGTACATCGGAGTCACTGCGGACGATTTTAAAACGCGCTACCGAAACCACGCAAAATCTTTCGCGAACAAGAAATACGCGAAGGAGACGGAGCTGTCAACATACATATGGAAGCTGAAGGAAGCTAAGAAAGCATTCTCTATAGCATGGTCCCTCCTGAAAACCGTCCCAGCCTACAAAGCCGGCTCAAGAAGATGTAACCTCTGCCTTGAAGAGAAGCTATACATTATGAAATGCAAAACTAAATCTCTGCTGAACAAACGCTCTGAACTTTTAACTCGATGTAGACACGTAACCCGATACCTTATATCACGATGTAAATATAGAGAATAGCAACTAGACCTGTCATTAGCCTGACAATCGCTTTATAGCGTGAAACTCAGAGTAGCTAAGCTAGTCTTTCAATAAATAAATATATTTTCGCTCTGCCGGTAATGGTATTGAGCGCTCTTCAACCATTGTCAAGTTCTGTGAACTCTTTGTTACAGTCAATTCTTTGGATATATATATATATATATATATATGCACATAAGAAGCAGTTACAAGGATACGGCCCACAATAGTCTGCAGCTTTTTGTCTGGATCTTCACTCCATGGTTGAAGCGGTTGCATGCATAACATGGTTGGGTTAAAAATGGTTTGATGCATGAATACTGCCACAGCTTTCCCAAAGAGACATTTATAATCATTCGAAGCACCCTTCTTCCTTAGTTCATTAAAGAGGATGCCAGTCTTCACAAATGAAAATACTTTATTAATACCAACTCCACAAATGTTTTTTAGGTAATCACAGCCTGCTGCCACACACCCATCCACAAACTGAGCCATTGTCACTTTTAACCTATCAAGGATGTTGCCTAAGTTAAAAACCTCTCCATCGCCATTTACTCTAAGTTTTACAAGAACCTGGAAAATAAATATATAAATGATTCAAACAAAAATGAAAAAAATGATGACATTAAAATCACTGAGTTGAACTTGTAAAGTTAGTCTGCTTTATAAACAGGCATTTGCCATTTAATGAACAATAATAAGTCAATGTTGTGGCAAAAATATTTGTCTATAAGTATGTGTCAGGAAAATGGTAGTGTGACATGTTAGAATCCCAGGTTATACAAACTTCTGTGCAACCATATACCAGTAGATCGGAATCTTCAGTTATTGCAAAATCTGCATAACCTTCCTTTACTAAAAATGCAATTTGAGCATCTGACTCATATGGAGAAACAATGTATGTAACTCCTTCACTGAGGTATATCTGAAAACAAAATGCATGTGGTAAATTTATGGAAAGTTGTATAATATATATTTCTACACAACTACAAGCATCAAGAAATTTCAGATTGTCTTGTAGTTCAATTTACATGTAAAAAATGATAAGTTAAGTCAGCCTATAGTTTGGAAAGAGTATCCAAAACTATGTAGAAAAAACATTTTAGGTTTGTAGCTTGTAAATTTAAAAGTATCAATGAAACTGAGGAACATTACTGTATTAATAATAAGTGCCTGCTCACTCATTATTTTCCCATACAATTTAATATAACAATTTTAGGTTGCTGAATTTCAATCAAAATACTGCCAAATTTTATCTTTTAACCCTACTGACTTGAAATTTTGTTGAACCACAAGCTTAAACCAAAAATTTACTGTGCATATGGGCTGAGAAACAAGTTTATTGCTGCATGCGGGTGACAAAATACTAGTACGATGTAAACAACGATTTTTTTATACTACTGACTATTAGAGTTGGACATTTAATGGTATTTAACAAAGTAAACTACAGACCTTCTTACACTCGACCACATCATCGTAATTCATCTCTACACTTCAGCTTAGCGCCTTGTTTCTTTCCTCGTCTATTGTTTTTGCACTGGCTTTCATCAACTGTCCATGTCTCTGCCTATAGAGTACAAAAATCAAAACTCAACATTTACGATTCTATTACAGGGTAAACATGCTGTATAAATTATGTTTAGTTTGTTTATCACCAGGTTTATCACCTTTGTCTTCGGATGTTTTCCTTTTCTTTGGCTTGAAGTGGCTTTCCATCGAAAACTACAATAGGCGTAATCTTAGAAGAGATGAGTAGCTGTAGGTAGCTTTTAAATGTGTAGGAAAACCTAGATTAAAAGTGTATATATCAGTCTCGAAGACAAAGAGAAGACAAACACATTCAATAATGACAATTTTTGGGCTTTTTTACCTTTCTCGCCCTCCTGTCTGAGACACCGACGATGGTAAACCTTTGTGAATCTAGCAAGAGCCATCTACTGCAGCCTGTTTGCTCGTAAAAGTCGCTGCCCTAACGTTGACCTCCTTTGAATAGGTCTTCAAATAGGGGAAAAGACAATTGATCCCCATTAAATATTTATAAATTTGACTTGATTTGGATTTAATATAAAAATATCAAAGAAGACTGCCCTGCAGATATACACTCGACCAGCGTCATATGCAAATGAATGCAAAATTAAACAACACTTGGAAAATAACCAGCATGCTTTGCGGTCGTATAGCGCACACCACCTGAGCATTTATACATTTCTTATAAAATGTACATTATTTGTCCAGATGTGACACATGGAAATGGTAGTGATGATCCCACAAACAGAAATCCCAAAGTAGAAAATCTTGAACAGTATCTATCTAAAATCACATCTCACATGGTTGAAAAATGTGTGTATACCAGGGCTAATGAGTCTCCTAAAATTGACATGGAAGAGATTCCACCCATCATTGCTCCTGCTATGAGAGGGGAGACAGTATATAACACAGAGACAAGCAAAGCATATTTTTGAAAAAGAACCAAGGTACTGAATGAAGGTATGGGAATGTATTGAGCCAGCACCATCTTGATGCTACAATCCTGGAAAAAAATTAGTAGACTTTTTCAATTTCTTCATGTCTCCCCCTTACACAATGTTGCTATTTATGCATTGTGAAGAAACTCTCCTCGATTGCTTTATATTCCGATTTAATAACAACGATGTAGAAACCATACTACATGGAATAATAGTAACAACTGTAAGAGCGGCTAAGCATGACATACAATGTAAACAAAAGATAGATACTTAGGGACTGGTCATAATTTAGCAGGGGGGGTGGGGAGGTGGAAATAGTGGGGGGGTCACATATTTTTTAGCCAGAAAAAAGGGGGGTTCATAAAATGTTAGACAGTTATAAGGGGGGGGGTTGCTTATTTCTGGTTGTAATTATTTCTTTTATACATGCTTAGACTTTGAGTTGCACTGCATAAGCTTTGCTTAGAACATTAAACAAAATTAGTTATAGAATTTAAAATGAAAAGTTATATAAGTCACTGTGTTAAAATATTTATATTTTAAATAGCAGGGTCTTTCACTAGAAATAACTAACATATTATGTTTAAAACCAAATTTTAACGACTATATATTACATATATATGTATATATATGTATATATATGTATATATATGTATATATGTATATATATATATATATATATAACTCTATAAACTCTATGAGTATTTCACAAAATCCAACGCAACAACTTGACTGTTTCATATATTAAATATCATTTTAGTTTTCCTCAAAGCCATCAATATCTTCACTGTCACCATCACTATCATCTGTTGACACATCCTCACTATTTCTTCTGTTTATACTGTCACTAAAGCTCTCTGTTCCCTGATCTTCGTCATCAAGACAAAAAGAGAGGTGTTCCTTGATGGTCTCTTTTGCTGCATGTGTTAACACATGTTGTTGAAAGGCAAAAGCAATATATGGCTTTTTGTGTTTTGAAAGCCCTGTTATTGCTTCAAGGTTCAAATCATCTGGATGAATAGGATCTTCAGCAGACAATTCATGTCGAGGAGCAATCATTTGCAGTACAGCTTTGTAATTGAATTCCATTCTTGATTCTTTTGTTTTTTTTGCCTTTCTCCTGTTTTCTTTCTGTTTTCTTTTTTTCGACCTTGGTTTTGAAAGGGTAGATGTAAATAAGCGTTTACATTTTTCTTGTAGAGATTCAAGTTTTCCTTCAATACTTCCAGCTTGGGTTCTGAGATGATAGACTTGGCCGATATACTTCTCAAATTCCTTGTGAGAACAATCTTCACCACTCTTCAATTTTCCAGACACAGTAAAGAGTTTCCCATCTTTCTCTTTGATTTCATGAAGCACCTGTTCTAATTGATTTGTAATTTTCTGGACTCTCTCGATGTTCTGCCTGATTCTAATACTGTCACTTGGTATGACAGTATAATCTTCTTCAAGTAGGGTTCCTGCTGCAGCAGGGTTTTTAGTGTTCAATACCGAATCAATATTTTTGCCAAGATTATCAATTCTCTGTTTCACCTGATACATTTGCCTTCCAGTGGAGTGAAACTGAATGCAAAAATCTTTGGCATTTCTGCAGTGCTTAAATTTTGAATTGTAGAAATCTGGTAATAAGGAGTTCATAAAACAAGCTCGTTCAGTTGTGGCATTGGGTACATAGCCCAATGCTGGCACTTTCCATTGCGGAGGTGACAAATACGGCTTCAATGGGTTCAAGGAACGCTGCGACTCCTTTTCAGAGTTGCTCGTACTTGGAATAGTATCTTCAACGTTAGATGTAGTACCAGCACGCTGATTAAAATATTCTTGTTTTCTTCGAAAAAAGCGACGAACTTCAAACTCTGTTAAACCTATAAAAGAACAACAAAAATATAATTAATTGCCTGTCAGTTGTGCCAGTAACACAGAGTAATGTTCACAAATCAGAATTGACATATATTATATAAACCATATCTTAGTCTTACCAAATTTGTACATATCTCCCTCTTGGACATCTTTAAGATGATCGACCTTTGTCAAGCCGGACGTTTCAAAAACATCTTTGTATTTTTCCAGGTCCGCATATTGTAAAAATACTATGATATCTTTATTTGCATATGCATATTTGTCGTTCGAAATCTCATCCGTTCGTTCCGCCATCTTGATTATTGAAGTGGCACAAGTCTAGTACTTCATGTTTCATTGATAGAATGGTTCGGGGGGTCCGCTGACCAAAAGTTCCAAAGACACATGTGATCATGAAATGAGATTAAAATCTGGAGAGTATAAAATGAGAATGTAATCTGGAGAGTAAAATGTCAAACCAAAACACCAAGAAAATGAACTTTGCCGAGAAGAGAAGCAACAATAGATTTGAAAGCACACTATCGACTAAAGTAAGAAAATCGCTCCAAACTTGCAGTGTAAATGAGAACTTGGAGAAACTCGAAGGCCTTCTCATCTTTCACAAGAAATGTCCTGGTAAAAGTCGAGCACTGGAAGGATTATTGTACATACTCCGACAATTGCTGGCAAAATGTGATAGGGATAAAACGTACGGTTACCTGCCATATGAGGATGCATATGGTATATATTGTGATTTTGTTCAGCGACAAGTAGAGGACAAAGAGTTTAGGGATCATCTTTTGCACAACGAGCACGGCCTTTGCGTCTATGTGACAACTTTGTTTGGCAAACGTTTCATTATTTTACAGAATGACACTGTGGACTTGAGTAATTTTCTCTGTGAACTTGAGCGTCTTGAATCTGATGATAAAGAAAGTTTCTCACGATTTGATTTAAACGCTGATACTCTCAAACGTGTTTTGCAGTCAATGGACACCGAGTATGACAAGACGGTTCTGAAGGCTGTGATATTTGCAACATCATCACGCAGGAAAGTTTATGAACTAGGAATAAAGCCTGAGAATGCTGTGCATTTTCTGGCGAAAACTGTCTATGCCTCCAAGGAGTGTGAAGATGCAGTTATAGCAGCAGAGAAAACAATCAGAGAGATGGATAAAGAAAGGCTCGAACAGTTGAATGAAAAAATTGAAGCTATTGAAAAAAAGCTGAACAAGAAAGAAAGCCTGATGTCAGAAGGGAGAAGAGCAGATCTCCTTGCAGACAAAGAAAGTTTAGAAGAAAGAAGTAAGCATATTCAGGAAGATATGTTGCAAGTTGATAGCAAAAGCAAACAGCGATTTCAACAACGAAAACGACGAATTGCACTAGCATCAGTGAAAGAAAGGAGAGTGAAGCGACGCAAGCTTGGTGCGGGTGCTAGCAAGTCTTTGGACACCGAAGATGAAGAATTCATAGCAAAATGCATTGAGGAAACAAGCAGTGCTCATGGAAGACGACACGATACGGTATTGTACGCAGGTCATCGAGTGAAAAAGTCTCATTTCCTATCGCTAGCGAATCACAACCTGTTCCGTAGAGGAAAGAGATTAATCAAATCGGCAACAACCGTGTTAAACCGCGCTAGACCAAAGTGTGTAAGATCAAGAGCTGCCAAATTACACTGTGGCAAATCGCTGTTTTGTTCACGAAAGCCCCCCAAAACAGAATTGCATTCAACCATATCAACGCACCACCAGCGTGCTCACATCCGAAATGTGAAACATGATATGTTCAAGCCAAGAAATAAAAACCAAAGTTTAATTATCAGTTTTGATGATAAAGCTTATCTAAGACCCGGCACTGATGTGGGAGTTCGAGATGTGAAGAAGGGTGTAATATTTGATGTTGCTGACCAACAAAAACAGAAACAGTTGCCACAACACGACTTCAGCGAGCCGAGAGTTCACCAGACACCTTCCTCGTTCAGATTTATCAGAGGAAATGTTGAAAAAATTGGAGAAGAGCAAAGATTTGTACATACTGAAGACCAAACTGTTGTGACTATCCGTCCAAAATACTTTATTGGCAGCTCTGGAAGTGTTTGGGCCTCCGATCTGCTTAAAATTAAATGGGAAATCCCTCAGCTGTTTGAACAAGCAGTCCAGACAAATGTCGAACATACATATGCCCTTCCAGTCCGGAAACTTTGTCGACGTGTCCATGACATTCTATTTTATTTTAGAGATTGCACACTCAAAAGTGATGTATTGTGCATGTCAAATGAGCCGGACTGTCCGTTCCGACAGTATGAAGAGGAAAAATTGATCTGGCTTCAGACACAACTTTCGAGCGCAGAGAGTGTTTGGAATGAAGATACCACAAGTCTTTCATGCACTGAAGACATTTCCAAAGGCAATCAGCTTCTTGAACAAGTACAGAGCATCAAGGAAACTAGTGAAGAAATCTCAGCAACCTCTACTGATCCAGTTGAATTCTGGTCACAAATCGAATCAATTCTTGAACTAAGTGACAAGACACTACAGTTCATAAATCAACTTCATTTGCCACCTCTGTATAACTACATTCTGGAAGCCACAGATGCCGGTCCTGGGGTCGGCGTTTCCAATGTAGAAGTTAAATACAGAGACATTGAGATGGCTCGTATAAATGGGTGGACTCACCTCAACAGGGTTCACCGTGCTCCGCATGATTCTGGGCAAAACGAAGCCGAACGGTCTAATGCCGCAGTAGGTGAGGCATTGGTCACAGGTCAAGCGATCAAATGGAATTATTTTCAGGCAACAGATGGCTTAAGTAACGAGCAGGTCGACTTATTGTCGGTTGCTGAAGTAAAGAAGCTAGAAGAGCAAGCTGTTGAGCGCAATGCATGGAGAATTTCACATGATATTGCGACAAGGATTGATGGTGAACCAGGCCCAGCAGGAGACTGTATGAAGGCCTTAGTTACCAGCAATGTAGCTAACCAGTTTTTCTTCAACACTAAATACCTCCACGCATATTCATCGGCAAACTCAGCAAATTTGAAAAGCCAAGTTCCTGGCCACAACTACTTTTCGAAGCTCGATGATGTCAATATCACTTCTATGTCTAGTGGAGAAATGTACCAAGAGTATCGAGCAGATGAATCTTTGGTGTGCACTCCTAGGCCATTTCCTGACGTTAGCAAATTGCCAGAGCTTCATTACTTGCTTCCAGATAAAACACCATTAGTAAACAGTGAGGGCATGGAACGAGAGCCAGATGATTACCATCCCAGAGCCCAGCTGAAGAAACTGCACAAGGAGAATAGAATTTCTTCTGATGACAGCGACGCCGTAACATGTTTCTCGCAGTCCTACGCAGTGAACGAAAATGAGGTCATAGACTATTTGCATCATCTTCAACACTTGGTTCTCATGAGTGAAAAAAGAAAGTCAGAAAAGCAAGCTAAAAATGCAAGAGAAAATGAAATGACATGCGATGAATTTGACTGGTTCACAATGTTAAAAGATGGGACTTTGTCCAAACAGCGCGTAGATATTCTGAATAAGTACATAGACAAACATAAATTAACAGTCCCCAAGAAGAGTAAAAAGCAAACCAAAGTTGACGCCATTGCTTTACATCTGCGGGTTAGACTAAACAGTCCTTCTGAAATAGCTGTTGAAAAATACAACTCAAGACAAGAGGCAAATGAAATTGGAGACTATTCGAGTGACGAACAGAATGAATCAACGAATGAGGACATTGTTCTTCAAGAGATCGGCGAGACAACGTCAGAGGACTCAAGTTAGGCTTTTTTTAAAACACTGATGTTTTACATATGAATATGTCAAGGGTGGGTAGTATCGGAGTTGTTGGAGTTTGCAACTGTAGCGAACTACAATTTGCGAGTAACTGTATAGACTACTTTTTAAAACTGGTAGTTTGAAGTTGTCGCGAACTATATTTTCTATATTAAAAGTAGCGAAGTAGTTGATTACTTTTTCAACAACAATCGCTATTCGCCACTTTTCGATTTTTTAATATCCCTCGACTATATACTCTATAGTTCATACACTATAATACAAAACTAGTCATTTAATATACCATGTCAAATCTCGTTTGGACCCACATTTTGTTCTAGAATTCTTTGGCTCATCCGCCATTAATCCATAGTATCAGAATATATGAGCATATTATGCTTAACATTTCATATGTTTAAAACATGTGAAATCAATATAAATTACAAACACGGATACCAGGAATTTTGTTGTAGCGAAGTAGCGAATACTTCGCTACATTTTTCTAGCGATATAGCTGTACACGTAGTCAAAAGAACCAAACTACATATTTTTGACAATAGCAGTAGTTGTAGGTGACTACATTATTTTAAAATAGCAGTAGTTGTAGCGAACTACACAAAACTTGTAGTCTACCCACCCTTGGAATATATATAAGTGGACGTATATAAATTAATTTTATTACTTTATATAAACGTTGTCAGAAAAATTTTTGAAGGTGTAATTACTATTTTGAATTGACGGTGCAGATTACAGTAGTTTCTCATTTTGAAGCAGTGTTTATCAAAACGTTGACGGATGGGGGGGGGGGCATTTTTACCGTCTCGAACAAGGGGAGGGGGCATGATTTTTTGTGGATAAGGCAAGACAGGGTTGCAAAATATCATTCCTTAAAATATTGAATTACACCTCCCCACCCCCCCTGCTAAATTATGACCAGTCCCTTACTATACATAAGCTGTAGTTTTAAGTGTCTAGTAATATCGTACTAACGATATTTACATGTCCGAAAGAGTTTAACACACAGTGGTTCAACACAATAACTATAAACAAAACAAGCACAAGTCTCGCTGACCGAGCTACTTGGTCAGCGGTGAGCTATGGCAAGTACTTCATGATACAACATCCCCCCCAGTCCGTAGATCCTTGTGCGGCCATGGTTCTGCGGACTTAAACTGATATCCACTTGCCAGTTTCAGGTTCATATTGTTTTGGTGGTCGGGTAATACGCCTTGGGCGATCAGGTGGGGGTTGAATTGGTGGTTCTGGTGGTTCAGGGGGCGAGGCAGTCGTACCACGTGTATTGATTTCGTCTGGTCGGTCCGAGCCTGGGTCAGTAAGGGGAGCTGGACTCTCCATGGTTGGTGGGTCACAGTCTGATGGACAACTGCTGGTATCGGACTGTGGTGGGGACTGTAATGAGTGCCGGTGGGGGTAGTCGTGGTGGCTTGGTGCCTGTGGTGACTGATACTGATCTCCTGATCTTGCTGGTGGGGTTACCGCAACGGGTTGATGTTTGATGGGGGAGGTGGATGGGCTATAGGCTCGA